GAGCTCAGCGGACCAAAGTGCCTGCTTAGGCAGAGTGCTGTCACCAGGTTTGATCCCCAGTGTGCTGTGCCTGCCTTGCTGCTGGGGAGCACTGAGATGGTGATTGAGACTGGGTGTGGTATAATTCCAGGGCCTGGCAGGCTGAAAACAGAAGAATAGCTATTAGCCCAATCTACAGATTGAGACCCTGTAGACCCTGCAGACCCTGTACCAACTACATTAAAAAAACAATCTTTTATATATACTTTTGCAAAGTTAGTGACATGTGACACAAGGTTGCCTAGTGACTAATAGCTGACCTTAACCAGATAGCATGTTTATCTCAGGACTGAGGTAACTTGTTTGCTTTAGGCACTGAGGCTCACACTCCTGTGATCCTCCTGTCTCAGCCTCACCAGCTCTGAAATCATAGGCATTTGATGCTATGCCCAGGTTGGGGGGCCACCTCAGCTCAGGGCCAGCAAGGCATACAGTATCTGGGATTGAACCAAATGGATCAGACCACTGAGCTACCTCCCTAGCACTTTCTTCTACACTTTGAGATGTAGTCTCATTATGATTCAAAAACTGGCATCTAAATGATCTTTCAACTTCCACTTCCAAAGTAGGAGTAGATGCACACAACTCTGTCATTATTCTCTGTTACTCTTGCTCTTTCTCACTCCTGACCACACGGGTACCCTTGATAATGCTGAATTTTTGAGCAAAGCATCTTCTCCAGGACCTTTCAATCCACTGCCCCTCCCGTCGGCCACACACAGCCTCAGATGCCCTCTTGGCTCCTGAACTATCTTCCTTGTGGTTTCTTTAGAAGTGTCACATTGTACTGGTCTTTTAAAAATAATGAGCAACAATAGCACCTCATCATCTCGTTCCTATCCACCCTTTTTCTGGTACATTCTCTATAACTGGGTCTTGACAGTTCTGTGATTGAATGTGAGTTAAAGGTGTGTCCCCCATTGTAGAGCTATTGGGAGATGGTAGAGTGGACAAGAGATGAGGTCCTTAGGTCACTGGTGGATACTCTTGAAAGAGATTTGGGACCTCGAGCCCTCTCATCACTTTCTTTTGCTTCCTGATTATGGTGGGAAGTGGATTTGCTGTGCTGTGCACTGATGCCATGATATGTGGTCTTATGCTCATTCAATGTTCTGGGGCCCATCCATCATGGGATTTCAAAAACTGAGTCAACATAATCTTCCCTCTTTGCAAGTTGACTATTCAGGGGACATGTTATAGCAATGGGAAACTGACACAGGGTTGGCCATCATTTGACAAAATATATGATTTAAAAATTTGTTTGCATTCTTTTCCCATTATTTTACTTGTAGAGATTTTATTTTCCTTCACTATTTATTAACTGTCCACACAGTCTCTGGAATATAGCCACTTTCAGTTGAAATTCCTCAAGTGCATAAATTTTTTTCATTAATTTTTAAAAATATATGATCTTTTTGAGCATGAGACAGGACTTGTTATTCAGACATTGTACAGTACAAGGGGCCTATAATGGGAACAAGATGCATACAGATGCATATAAATTATTTTTCGGAATCTAGAAGATTTGGGATGGAAGCATAACTCAGTAGTAGAGCACCTGAGCAGCATATGAGAGGTCCTCTGTTCTATTCATATTAGTGCGAAAAGTTAACATTTATGACAAGTACATAATAAAGTTTTTGGTTTTGTTCTTTCTCTCTCTCCTTTTTGGGGAAGTCATATAAAAATGGGACCAGGAAATGTTACACGACTTTTAGGATTTTTTCTTCTGGGATTTTCAGAGCAGCCAGGACTGCAACCTTTCATGTTTGGACTTTTTCTCTCCATGTACCTGACCACTGTGCTTGGGAACCTGCTCATCATCCTGGCCATCATCTCAGACTCACACTTGCACACACCCATGTACTTCTTCCTCTCCAACCTCTCCTTTGTGGACATCTGTTTCACTTCCACCACTGTGCCCAAGATGCTGGTGAACATATACACACAGAACAAGGTCATTACCTATGCTGGATGTATCACGCAGTTGTATTTTTTATTACTGTCTTCTGGGTTGGATATCTTTCTGCTGACTGTGATGGCCTATGACCGATATGTGGCTATCTGTTATCCACTGCACTACACAGTTATCATGAACCCTAGGCTCTGTGGAATATTGGTTCTGACCTGTTGGATTGTGGGTGTTCTGAGTTCCTTGTTGCATACCTTTGTGGCATTGCGTCTGTCCTTCTGTAATAACTTGGAAATTCCACACTTTTTCTGTGAACTTAATCAGGTAGTTCACTCTGCCTGTTCTGACACCTTTCTTAATGATCTAGTCATATATATTACAGCGATGGTGCTGGTTGTTGGTCCCCTTGCTGGTATCCTTTACTCTTACTCTAAGATAGTTGCTTCTATATGTGCAATCTCTTCAGCTCAAGGGAAGTATAAAGCATTTTCCACCTGTGCGTCTCACCTCTCAGTGGTCTCCTTATTTTACTGTACACTGCTTGGAGTGTACCTTAGTTCTGCTGTCACCCAAAACTCACACTCAACTGCAACAGCCTCACTGATGTACACTGTGGTTACACCCATGCTAAATCCTTTCATCTACAGTTTGAGGAATAAAGACATCAAGGGTGCTCTGAAAAGACTGCTGAGCAGGGTAAAGCAAAGAGGTCCAATTGACCCACCTGGGTAGAATTGCGTATGATTTGAGGGCCCAAGTTTTGGAGGTGAAAGTTTGCTTCTTTGTTTTTTTTTTTTTTTTAAAGACTGTACATGTCAGCTTTATTTATGACAACCAGGCTGCACACAGCCCTGGTGCCCTTGCATGGCCAAATGAGTACACGGTGTTTGTCACAGCAGGGCATGGCTCAGCAGTGAGGAGGAGCAGACCGCTCCCCAGACAGCCAGTGTGAACCTCAGACATGCTGGGTGGAGCAGCCAGAGGCAAAGCCATTGAAGTGGTTGACACAAAGCTAAGCCACACCGTGGTGAGGACAGTCAGAGCCACTGTGGCTTCCTGGGGCGCCTCGGAGGTGGGCCAAGTCCCCTACCTGGGTAGCGGTGGGAGCCACAGGATCGCTGGCTCCGCCAAAGCAAGCTGAACGGTGCCTTTGTCAGCAGAGCACTTCCTTGTTTGTGAAGTTTAACTCAGTGAGAGTTTGTAACAGTCAGATACAGACCAACAAATAAAACATTTATTTGCGCAATGTCTTCTATGTATGCCAGTTTCTTTTCTTTTTTTTTTTTTCTCTTGTTGAAGTTTTATGTTTTATTTAGTTAGGCTCAAGAAAAAAGGTAAACTTTAAACATCCTCAAACTTGTTATTGAAGGCTTCCATATACACACATACATACATGTACATATATACATATCGATATCTATATATATGTTCTTTTATATAAACCATATAAGACAATTTGAAAAGCCATTCACAAGGCTGTGAGTACTGCTTAGTAGTAGAGTCAGATGTGATCTCTAGCACTAAAAAAAAAGACCCCAAAAGACCGCCAATCTTTTTATTCTTTTCTGTATTTAAAATTACCCTTTTAGATATTTAGAAGCTTCACAGGTGGTGGCTTTATTGGAATTTTTCCCAGAGTAAATTTCTTGGACTGAAACTGTTCCAGTTCTTCTGCTGTTAGTTGATCCTTGGGTGTGAATAACACATCATCTGTTGCAACAGTGGCACTGGACGCTGGGAGAGAGGTAGCTTTAAAGATGTCATTAGATGGCTTAGAAAAAGCAGTGTCAGAATGTGAGCCAGGACTACCAAAGCCAGCCACAGAGCTGCCACTTCCAAAA